TGGAAAAAGGGAGAAATCACCAAAGAAGAATTCAAACAAATAGCCAACACCTGTAGGGAAAAGGTCCGCAAGGCTAAAGCAAAAAACGAGCTCAGACTTGCCAGGGACATTAAAAACAATAAAAAGGGCTTCTATTCTTATGTCAGTAGAAAAAGGAAAAACAAGGAGGCGATAGGACCTCTTCGAGGAGAAGATGGGGCAATGCTGACAGGGGATAGGGAAAAGGCAGAACTACTTAATGCCTTCTTTGCCTCGGTCTTCTCACAAAAAGAGAGTCTTCAACCTCAGCAAGGTGGAGTGGATGAGGGATTGGAGGACATCCAACCCCAAATTGGGAAAGAAGTCGTCCAGGAATACCTGGCCGCTCTTAATGAGTTCAAGTCCCCAGGGCCAGATCAACTACACCCCAGAGTATTGAAGGAACTAGCGGAAGTCATTTCGGAACCATTGGCAACCATCTTTGAGAGTTCTTGGAGAACGGGAGAAGTTCCAGCAGATTGGAGGAGGGCCAATCTTCAAGAAGGGAAAAAAGGATGACCCAAACAACTACCGTCTGGTCAGCCTCACGTCGATACCGGGCAAGATTCTGGAAAAGATTGTTATGGAAGTGGTCTGCAAACACTTAGAAACAAATGCAGTCATCGCTAATAGTCAACATGGATTTATCAAAAACAAGTCATGCCAGACTAATCTGATCTCTTTCTTCGATAGAGCTACAAGCTGGGTAGATGCGGGGAATGCCGTGGATGTAGCGTACCTGGATTTCAGTAAGGCCTTCGACAAGGTCCCCCATGACCTTCTGGCAAGGAAACTAGTCCAATGTGGGCTAGGCAAAACTACGGTGAGGTGGAGCTGTAATTGGTTAAGTGGACGAACACAGAGAGTGCTCACTAATGCTTCCTCTTCATCTTGGAAAGAAGTGACAAGTGGAGTGCCGCAGGGTTCCGTCCTGGGCCCGGTCCTGTTCAACATCTTTATTAATGACTTAGATGAAGGGCTAGAAGGCATGATCATCAAGTTTGCAGACGACACCAAATTGGGAGGGGTAGCCAATAGTCCAGAGGACAGGAGCAGAATTCAAAACGATCTTGACAGATTAGAGAGATGGGCCAAAACTAACAAAATGAAGTTCAACAGTGACAAATGCAAGATACTCCACTTTGGCAGAAAAAATGAAATGCAAAGATACAGAATGGGGGACAAGCCTGGCTCGAGAGCAGTACGTGTGAAAAAGATCTTGGAGTCCTCGTGGACAACCAGTTAAACATGAGCCAACAATGTGATGTGGCGGCAAAAAAAGCCAATGGGATTTTGGCCTGCATCAATAGGAGCATAGTGTCTAGATCTAAGGAAGTAATGCTACCCCTCTATTCTGCTTTGGTTAGACCACCTGGAATATTGTGTCCAATTCTGGGCACCACAATTCAAGAGAGATATTGACAAGCTGGAATGCGTCCAGAGGAGGGCGACAAAATGATCAAGGGTCTGGAGAACAAGCCCTATGAGGAGCGGCTTAAGGAGCTGGGCATGTTTAGCCTGAAGAAGAGAAGGCTGAGAGGAGATATGATAGCCATGTATAAATATATGAGAGGAAGCCACAGGGAGGAGGGAGCAAGCTTGTTTTCTGCTTCCTTGGAGACTAGGACGCGGAACAATGGCTTCAAACTACAAGAGAGGAGATTCCATCTGAACATGAGGAAGAACTTCCTGACTGTGAGAGCCGTTCAGCAGTGGAACTCTCTGCCCCGGAGTGTGGTGGAGGCTCCTTCTTTGGAAGCTTTTAAGCAGAGGCTGGATGGCCATTTGTCAGGGGTGATTTGAATGCAATATTCCTGCTCTTGGCAGGGGGTTGGACTGGATGGCCCATGAGGTCTCTTCCAACTCTTTGATTCTATGATTCTATTATTCTATGATTCTATGATCCTAATAAATTTTCCTATTTTTAATAGGAAAATACATACATCTTTTAAAACATACATATTGATTTAAGTTGCCATCTTATTTGTACTTACTATTGAACACAATTGATTTCCTTCTGGCCACAGGATTGTCCTGAAAAGGAGGTAAACAGCTGCATTAGGGAACTGCTTGGCAGAGCTAAGCCATCTGAAGCAGATGTTGCGAGATTGGAGTAAAGCTTGGCTCACCTTCAAAAGAAAAACTCCGAGATGGATGAAGGCATTCCTCAGAGTGTGAGAACATTAGCTTGCACCTTCTTCCCAAATCAGAAGCATCATGGCCAGGATCCAAGTATGTCACATCCAGTAATAGATGTTCCAGGAATTTGTTTCATTCCCATTTCAGTTGACACACACAGCTTTTACACCACTTAGGTTCTGCTCTGACAATGTATTCAGGTGCTGTGGATGGAGGAATCATTTCTTTCAAGGTTCTCTGACAGAATATCTCTCAGTGGAAATATTGGGGTATAGTAGGGGCAAATGATGGTGTTGCCTCCCCAAATACAAATTTGCCCCAGCAGTGAACATTTCTATAATTGAAGCAACATAACACTTCATTTAGGGTTTCATGAGTACAGCTTAGGCCTAATGAAAAATTCAGTGGAAACTTGAGTCCCATCTACACTGCCATATGAAATCTGGATTATCTGCTTTGAACTGGATTATATGACAGTGTAAACTAATATAATCCAGTTCATAGCAGACAATCAAGATTTTTTTATGACAGTGTAGATGGGGTCTTATTTCAGTCAAGATTTTGCAGTAAAACTCCTTACAGTATGCACACCTTTGGATGATCTAATTGAATCCTGATGTGCAGGGGGGGGGGAGTTTATTTGAGTGGACAAACAGGTTGAAAAGTTACTTTTTCAAAACATCTTATGTGAGAAAACAGATTGTAATAATAAAAAAACACAATCAAGAACCCCGCCCCTTTGAAAGATATGTCAGTTGCTGGGTTAAAGTTGAAATGATCGAGTTAAAACAATTGCGAAAAAGTATCCTCTCCCTCATTCCAACTCAAACCTGCTGTGGAGATCTGGATTTCTCCCAATCAAGACTGGAAGACCAGAGTATCAGTAAGAAAACCTAGTTGCTAAATTAGTGTTAGATGGGACTGATTCAGAAGTTGGAAATATTTATTTCTAATGATTGGATTCTTAGCAGAAAAAACAACCTTCCATTTTCAACAAAGCAGAAAATCAGTTTTCAAAAAACACCTTCATGGAACTCTGGCCTCATCGATCAACTACAATATGGACCATCTTTCTATCCAGTGTCCACCATCATTCCCATCTAAACCAGCAAAACAAAGACTATGAACTCTGACTGATTTTGCTATGCACATAATCAATTATTATTATTATTATTTGTTTTAAGAAGATAGAGATGGGGTTTAAGGACAGAAACAGTGCCTTGCTTAAAAAATAAAAATAAGGCTAGTGAAGAAGGAGTAGGGTTAATATTGCTTTTCCCTACCAATGAGAGGTTTTAGAAGAATTGATATTTACAAAACACAATCATAAATAAACACACAGGAAATCATGATCCATTGTTGTTTTGTCAATTTAAACCATTTCTGATGTAAGACAGTCCTACAGCCTATCACAGCATTTTTTTAAATCTAAAAATATGTGACCTCCCTGGGGTCACCAGGGACTCAAATCCTGTTCTCCAGAGTCATAGTCCAAAGCTCAAACCAGTACACCACGCAGACTCCTTTTAGACATGGTAGGACTCATCAAAACAAGTCATTACAGTGATAGCTTGGGGCAAGCGTTAATGTGAACATGTCAACCTTTCAAATTCTTGGTGTGTCTAAAAGTAATTAAAGAATATCCACAAACACACAAATATTTCAAGTTCTTGAAAAGTTATTTTCCAAAAATGGTGTTTATACAGCTGAGATGGTCGAGATTTATATCCTAATTATATCCTAAATCTGTAAAAGACCACTTTGGTAGTTGGTCTTTTACAGATTTACAGTAGATAAGAAGAATCCATATTCTTTTGTTTGTCAAAACCTGAAATTACTAGGAACAATAGATATAAATTTTCCTGTCAAAATTGCCTATATTCTACTATGCTATGGACCATATCACATAGAGTTGCAAGATTTCAGTGTGAGATTTTCATTGGTGTATATTTGATGGTCAAGTCTTTGTATAATAGGTAACTCTGACTGGCTATTTAGGCCGGATGTACACTGCCATATGACCCAGTTTCTGGATCCAGATTATCTGCTTTGAACTGGATCATATGAGTCTACACTGCCATATAATCCAATTCAAAGCAGACACATAATCTGGATTCAGAAACTTGATTATATTTCAGAGTGGATGGGACCTTACCCATACTGCCATGCTGAATGCAGTGAGGTCCCTTATAGAAAAAAACAATATTGATGATAATGCTATTATGATTTCAAAACTCTTATATGGTTGACTTTATCTCATCCAAACTTGAACCTGAAGCTTATTATGTCAATAAACCATAGTAAATATGGTATATTACTTATTGTATGCTATGGGACAGGTAAGTGATGGTAGATATATAAAAGATGTATACTTGAACATATCCACATCTTATGTCCTTGTATCCAATGTTCCCAACAACAGGTGATTTATCACTAGTGTACAAACCATCTAGTCTTGTGAATTCAGCATCTGTTCAATATGTGGATATTTTTAATTAGCCCTACAACAATATAGCCCAATTAGAAGACCTGTTTCTCCAGGGAAATGGGTGGAGGAGAGGAAAGGAGCAAATGGACACACACCTGCTGCCTTCCTGGGAAGATCTAATCCAACACTGGATGCTCTACTTTTGGTATAAAATTTAATATGAAGTTCAGCAAATGACATTGATGTGGGTTTTTCAGGAGTGGTAGGATTTAAGTATTCTGCGAGGCAGTGCTGACTGGATATGACTATCATGTCACATATTCACGATGGTCATGTGCATTATTTGAGCCATAATCTCTTGTCTGAGTGTTGTTTGTATACATAAATCTAATTGCAAGTGGGAGGAGGGGACAAGTGGGACTCCCACATAATTGGGTGGCGAGGAGAAGTGGGACTCCCATACACACTCTCAAATATGTTGTTCTTTGAAATATATATCCCCATAATAGATTAGACACTGGCATTTTCTTATGGAGAGGCTGAGAAGAAGGAACAACTACTTTCAAAGGAGAATTAGCAAACTATAGTTTACATCAATATTACCAGAATATTGTCAAGTTTTTCAATTAGAAAAAAGAATCAACAAAATGAAGTCTATGTTAAGATCTCTCTTCGACACCATTGAAGTTTTGCTTCGCTTTCTCTATTACAGTCTGGAGGAATTAATTTTAAAGTTTTCTTGTTATAAAAAAAATGTCGCTGGGAAAATAGTGCTTATTACGGGATCTGCAAATGGAATTGGAAGAGAGCTCGCAATACAGTTTGCACGTCTTGGTTCCATCCTTGTTCTCTGGGACATCGATGAAGAAGGTAACAATGAAACAGGAGAGCTTGCCAAAGCCAATGGGGCTCTAGCTGTTTGTGCCTACAGGTGTGACGTTGGGAAAAGGGAAGAAATCTATGCAGTAGCAGAACAGGTAAACTTTTATTTATGCTTCAAGTACATTCTGTATAATGTTTGCCCCTTTGAGCATGAAAGTATTTGACAAAGCAAATCATTTGACTCTTCCATAAACTGAGGGAGGTATACCGAAAGGTACAACCATTTTACAGGTCAGATAAGAGAAAGTACTTGGATATAAATCATTTTAGGTTGGAATCACATTAACTACATTTTAGATAGAATGCCATTCATTTTCAATGTTTATAATCATTTATCCAATTTGCAATTTCCAATATAATATAAGTATTCTTCACTATATCAGCATTTCCAATGCAATTCCAAAATGATTACTTGCCCAGTGGCAAATTTCCAGTCGAGTTCAGTCCAAAAACAGGACATGTTCTGCACTTTATCCACCTCCCTGGCCCTATGCTACCATGTTGCTCTAGTCCTGAAAACCTGATGACTCCAGCAGACCTTGAAAATGATCAGCCTCAGACTCTACCATAGTCATCAGCTAGGACCCTGCTCTATATCTTATCCATTTCCCCGGCCCTATGTTACTTCATTGCACTAGCCCCGACCCAGCCCTTTCATAGCTGTAGGACCACTTTGAAATTCTGTCCATTGGTAGTTTGAATCCTGTCCGATGGAATAATACTGGAAATGTATGTGGTTGTTTTAATAGTATTATGTTTAGGTTTTATAATGGTTATTTTATATGATTTTGTGTTGTAATTAAATGCTTTGCCCTCCCTGAGTCCCCTTGGGGAGATAGAGCGGCATACAAATAAAGTTTATTTTATTTTATTACGATAGGACTCATTTTTCATAAAATTTCAAACTATTATGTTAAAACCATACTGTTTCCTCCTACACATTCTCAAATATTTATTCTGTTTCTCTACTAAATGGTCCCTTATTGAAAAAGCAAATCGAAAATACATTTATTGAAGCAAAAACAAAAAACCATGAAAAATTCATGGATTAGATAAAGCAGTCAGTGATTGAATCTTGGCAAGACCAACACATGACACAAGAAATATTTCGTCTTTAATACATCTATGTTGCTATAAAGTCAGGAATGGTCATCTTCTAGGTCAGGACCATATGTGCAGCTACCCTCACATGACTCCAAAAGAGACTCGTGTGGAGCCTAACTTACTTTCAGGACCTGGTGTTAATCTTTGCCTGGTGTTAATCTTTGCCTGCTTCTGCTATAGGTAATGTTAATTAATTAGGGTGAAAGGTTTTCCTTTTTATTTTTTTCAGGTTAGAAGAGAAGTGGGAGATGTAGATATCCTAATCAACAATGCAGGTATCTTGAAAGGAAAGACTTTCCTTGATCTTTCTGACTCTGATTTGGAAGAAACACTAGATGTGAACACTGCATCTCATTTCTGGGTAATGCTTTTTCATACAAAACTACATGGAATTCTTTTTACTAATAAATTCATGCTTTGAATTTAGGTGTATTTCAGAACTTAAAGTGTTTTTTAGATTGAGAAAACTAATCTCCATAGTACCATGGTAGTAATTATTTTGTGTTTTAGATTTACTTTAAATAAATAAACTGTCCAAATCTAGAATTTTAAAAAGTACACCCAATGCTTGAAAAAGTACTCCAAAATTGAACATGATATATTAGAATGCCACAAACCCTATTATCATTAATGTCGATGTTATGTCAGAAATATATTGAGGGATGGTGGCACTCTGCAGTGGGTTGAATCCATGGATCATGAGCCTACAGATACAAGTAATGCTAAACCTCCTCTGAATAAATCTTTTAAAGAAAATACCCTCCTAGCATTTAAGAGTATGACACATGTATTGTTTCTCCTTTATATCTTTAGCATGTTGAACAGAATAGAATAAATAGTTTTATTGTCATTGTATTATTGTACAATGAGATTAAATCCCTTCCCTAGCACACATCATAAAAATAACACACCCATCCCTCCACACCCAACCACCACTTCAAAGCCCTCAATGACACATCAATGCAAAACCATGGAGTTCAACATAGCCACAGCTCTAGGATAAAAGCTATCTCTCAGACCCCTTACACACAGCTGTATAGAATCCACATTGAATTGGGTTATAATATATGGTAACATGGACTCAGATAATCCAGTTCAAAGCAGATATTGTGGATTATCTGCCTTGATATTCTGGGTTATATGATTGTGTGGAAGAGCCCTCAGTCTGTCTTTGTCACCTTGACTGTCTATTAGATGGCAATAATTCAAAAACAGAATATGCTGGATTCTTTGTCTTGTACTTGTCAGTCTGTCTCTGTTTGGAATTTTTTGAATTTGCAGTACTGGTCATCTTGGCTTCCAGCAGTTGCCAACCTGATCTATTCTAATATTCTAAAACATTATTAACAATAATATGGTCGCATCCAAATTTGATTCAACGTTCAGGGACTTAGTCCAAAGTCTGTCCATTATCAGTTCACTTACATCAACTGCGATTGCTGCTAAGCCTGCTGTCCAATATGCCTAATATTAATGAGAATATGCCTAATATTTTCAATATGCCTAATATTAATGAGAATTTACCAATTGTGTCACAGACTTGCAAAGCCTTTCTTCCAGCCATGGTTGCCCGCAATGAAGGCCATTTGGTTACTACTGCGAGTGTATCATCATTAGTGGGGAGCAATAAACTAACAGGTCAGTAACCTATCTATTTATTACTTATCTATTTTATCATGGCACAGACTCAAGCACAACTATCATAAATGGAACTGAATCAATGCAAACCAAAGAATCTAATTTGGGGAAGAAACAGGAGAATATGCAGCTAAGTTGATAGCTGATGTGGTACATTAGTTTGAGAAGTCTTACCATGAAGTCTTACCATGTGTTCCAGTAGTACAGGGTTCAAATCTCCACTTGGGTCATGGAAACCCATTGGGTGACATTGGGCAAGTTACCCTTTCAGCCCCAGAGGAGGGCAATGACAATCGCTTGCTGAATAAATCTTTTTAACATTTTTTGCAGAGGCATTATTAAAATATTTGATCTTATGCAACAAATGCCCCAAACAGAAAACAATTTCATCTAATGGGTGATAAATAACAACAACAACAACAAACTTTATTTCTATACCTCCCTATCTCCCAAGAGGGACTGAGGGCGGTGTACAACAAAAAATCAGCAAACTTTCAGTGCCTAAGAAACTTAATATAATAAAGCATTTCAAATAATAAACAATCAAATAGACAACATCAAAATAAAGCACTTTTGAAAATAATGACAGCTGTATCAATAACATGGTGTAAGATTTGACTTCCTGTGAAACAAGAAAACAACAAGAATCAAGAAACAAACAATAACAAAAACATGAGGAGATTTTTAAACTATAATTTGTCAATCTATTTTCTAGATGGGCTGGGTTTTCAAGTGAGGGGGATGAGTTGCATCAAAGAATGTTTTGATATGAAGTGCTTATAACTGCACATAAAAGGTTATGCCAAGCTTTATTACAAAACACTTCAACAAACCATCAGCCACAAAACATGACAGATCCGTCTGACATTCTACATCATACAATTGCCTCGCAGAAGCTTTCCATCAGGGCAAGAAGCTTTCCATCAGGGCGCTTCCAGGCAGCAATTTATTGCAGGTGAAAATGGGTTAAAGTAACTCGTTTTCATCTGTGTTGTTGTTTCCATGCCTGCCCAGTAACATCTAGGAGGACATGGGGCCATGAAACCAAACCCCAAAGCCCTCAAAATAGGAAGAAACTTACTGGGTACTGGCAGTCTTCCTGGTGCACAGCAATTTGCTCCCCACCACCACCACCACCGCCACCACCTCCTCCTGATGCATCATTTATACATGCCAGGAAGCCTGTTGGAGATGCGTAATGGTGCCCAGTAAGTTTCTTCTTGTTTTAAAGGCTTTGGGGGGGGGGGAGTGCCTATTTGCTTCTCCAAGCCCAAAGAAGCAAATTGGGCTGTGGGGACTGACCCCTCATTAGTCCCACGATTACCAGGGGTGAGTCCTCACAGGGTCCATGCCCCATTTATCCTCTTTTACCTGAGGAGTCATTTGTAAGCCTTGGATAAAAGTCTGACTGGGTCCGCATTTTGGGCCCTCTCTGAAAGGGCCCACAATCTGTTATATGGTGCTTGCAAGTTCCATGCATAGAGATTTCTCTTCTCACCAACACTCTAGCCATCAGCCAACCTATTTTCCTCTGTCTCGTTGTTTTTAAGAGCTACCAGTTTACCAAGAATTTCTAGATGTAAATCATTTTTAAAAATCACAGTTAAATATGATAATAATTTGCTACTACAACATTTGTTACATTCAGTCATAATTTTCTATTTGCTGAATTGTATTTAAGTCTAGATTTTGAGACTGTGGTTTTTAAAAATGACATCTGAATCTAATTTTTAATACTATTTCTGTAAGTATTTTATTCATATTATAGTAGATTTCATCCTTTTCTGTCATCTTCTTGCTTTTTTTAGCTACTACTGCAAGTAAATATGCAACATTTGGATTTATGGAAGCCCTTGCTTTTGAATTGCAAGATGCAGGAAAGAAAGGCATTCAAACCACCATTGTCTGTCCATATTTAGTGGACACAGAATTAATTACTGGGGCACAAACACTGTAAGTAGTAAATTTCAAGTAGCAGTAGCAGTTATTCAAAGATATTAAATTAGTACCTAAGCACAAAACTTGGATATCATGGGATCAGGAACTGCTTTTGAAATTTCAGTTTTAAAAGAGATGCTGCCATGTGGAATAAGAAACCCTTGTTCATGCAATGAAAGTGGAAGCCAACATAGGTTTGTGAACCAGAAGCTTGTTGCTAGGAATGTGTGGTTCTTTGGAAATGGTTTTTTTTTTCTCTGTTCATTGAATCCAACTTTTTAAAAAGAAAAATCATTCCAATTAAACTTTTGGGGAAAGTTATGTGTCCTAAGAATCGTAGAATAGACTGCCTCAAAGGGTAACAGATTCTCCTTCTTAAACAGAGATTGGATGGGCATTTGCAAAAGTACTTTAGGGCTCTTCCAGACAGACCCCAAAATGCGGGCCCTGTCACGCTTTTACTGGAGGCACCCAAACGATGCCTCCAAGAAAAGCAAATTAATTTGGGGCAAAGCAAGAAAACCCTGTTTTATCCCAAATTAATTAGATACCCAATTGGATCCGGGCCTTTCTGAAAGGCCCAGTTCTAATGGGATGTGGGTCCTGTGAGCACAGACTCCTGGAACTGCTTTTGCTCCGGCAACCCTCCTGTTGCAAAAAAATGACATGCCAGGAGGCAGCGGGGGAGTGTAAATTGCTCCTGGTGCCCCTCACCTCCTGGTGTGTCATTTTATGCACCAGGAGGGCTGCCGGAGCAGCCTTATGGTGACCCAGTAAGTTTTTATTTTATTTTAAGGTTTTTTAAGTGTTGGGGTGGCCCAATGCAGACAATTCCCGGGAAAGCCTGCTTCTTTTGGGTGCCCGTGGAGACATAAACACACTTCAGAGAGGGTTTCTTTAACCTTCTCCGAAGCAGATTTAAGCCCGATGTAAAAGTGCCCTTGGTTCTATATTCCTGCATGATAGAGAATATGCAGCTTCTTAGAAATATATTTTTTCTGTTTATTGAGTCAACTTTTTAAATATCTCCCCTTTAGGAGGGAATTCTTTTTTCCTATCTTGGATGCAGGCTACGTTGCAAAGGAGATGGTGGATGCCATTCTGAAAGAGAAACTTTATCTTGTCTTGCCGTCATATGCCCGACTCCTCGTTCTTAAAATGTAAGAACATTTCAAATTTGTTACATCTAAATGTAAGGAAAAACTTTTAATTGTAATATGTAGGAAGTGAAATTGAAATGCAGATTTGAAATTTGCAAAATTTATATTTGAGGTCATATCTAGATTTTCTATTTTTAGTCACCTTTTTACAATAATGCTATTGTGTTCCAGACTTGTTTGACACAAAAAGATAAAGTGCTATCTTATGAATGCTATTGCTTACCTGAACACAAGGTCTTGAATATTCTAAGCATATCCATTTAAATAATCAATTTCCAATAAAATAAGTTCATAAGAAGTGTGGGAATTGTAGGGATATTGCATTCTCTCTGGGCCCTTTGACACTGTCCTTATATCCCAAGATCTGATTCCAAATCATCTCTTTATCCCGGATTATCTGGCAGTGGGGACTCATATATTCCAGTTTAAAGCAGATAATCCGGGATCAGATCCTGGGATAAATGGCAGTGTGGAAGGGTCCTCAGATACCTAATTTGGTCTTTATTAAATATCACTCTTAAACATTTTGAGACACATTTACTCCTCTTTCACTTCCCTTCATGGCGAAGGCAAGGGAGTTTGCAAGTGGCCATAGAAGTTGTTTCAAAGAATATTTGTGTTTAGGGTATTGTTGTGAGTTTTGTTATTCCATTCTTACTCCCAGGTACCTCCATTATTCACAGCTTAATTCAGTTGCTGCAAGTTGATTTCAAAGTATAAAAATAGTTTGCACTCAGTAAATTCAGCAGGAGCGAGAGGAGGAATAAATTCTTGCCCTTCTCAATAAGCACAAAAAAATGCAATCTTCTGCAATCTTTCCTGGTTTATTTGTTCTTCTTTGTTATTAATGGTAGTAATCTTCACCATAGTTTGATGTCATTTTTACACATTTCCTGGTTTTCACCTGTGAAAATACTGGACAATATGAAATTGATATTTTATATCTTAGCTGTGGAAGACAGGAATACAGTCAGAAACTTCTCTTTCATTCAAAAAGTAACTCCTGTGAACAATTTTTGGCCGATAGTTTCACACAGTGGCCTTGATGCTCTTCCATCATGAAGGACCTCAATTCACAATTCACTTCAGATTTATTGTAAGATGTAATATGGCATGAGGTGGCCCTGATAGAGGGAGATACCTACCACTTCAAGAAAGCAGCAGGAAAAATATGTTTCAAATAAGGAAGATTGGAAAATATTTACAGTATATAGAAATATTCTGATTGTGCTCATGTTTATTACTCATATAGATGTCATTATTTGAAATTGTTCAACTCATCTGCCATATGCAAAATGGATTTCCTTGATTTTACAGCCTGATATTTGGGTTGAAATGGCGCGGGGGGGGGGGGGGGCTTCCTGACATGCTTTAAGAATAAATATGCATTTTTCCCAGATTTAACTATTTCAAAGTACTACATTGTTCTCTCCCCAGATTTTTTCCTAAGAAAATAGTTTACCTTCTTGCAGAATATCTTGGTCTCTTCCGTCTTTTTGATCACTTCAGAGGTGAACCTAAAAGAGGACAGAAAACAAAGGAAAATTGAGAAGTCTTCTCTAGACATTGGGAATATTTCAAAGTTTGGTGAGCGACTGTTTTATGTATTTCTGTGATATTTTGCTTTGTCTGTCACATATACTACAGGTGAACGGTATTAAAGGTTAGATACTCAAAGCCAACAAGGAGCTGCAGTGGCGCAATGGGTGAAACCTTTGTGCCAACTGAACTGCTGACCTGAGGTCAGTGGTTCGAATCCACAAGACAGGGTGAGCTTCTGCTTCCCATGAGGGGACATGAGAGAAGCCTCGCACAGGATGATAACACATTCAGGCATCCCCAGACTACATCTCTGCAGACAGCCAATTCTTTCACACCAGAAGTGACTTGCTGTTTCTCAAGTCGCTTCTGACACAATAAAAAAGTTGTGTAAAAGTACAGCTTTCACACTATTGCTGGGATGGACTCAGAGGGAAGATTCATGCCCACATTCACTCAATTAGCAGGACCCTGGATGAAGTGGGCATTGTATTGTTGTAACTGAACAGTTTTTAAAAGATTTCTATTATTTAAACTTACATTCTATTTTACTGGTATGCCCTTTTAATATTTGAATTGTGTTGTTCTTTCAAAACTGCAAGCTGCTTTGAGTCAAATTGTAATGATTATGTGTATAAACATTGGGTTTTGTATAAACAATGGCTGTTTTGCTTCAAAAACCATCTTTTGTGAAAATTTTAGGCAGTTGAGCCTTTTTCACAATTATCATCTGAAAAGATGATGATGGTGATGATGATGATGACGATGACGACGACGATGACATCCCACTTTCCTCAAATATTTAAACATCTAAAGGAGAAGCAAGTGTCTTTTCCAAGGTCTGAGTGTTACTCTTTCTGGAGAGAAAGTATCTGACATTAAAGACAAACAATAATTAGTAGGTGTTCCACACATTGTCAGGTGAATTTTGACACATTTACAGAAGGAAGTGGACAAAATAAAGTAGAATACAATACTTAGAGAGGATGCTCTCAAAGGTGAGTATTTCATTTTATTTTGTAGTAGTGAGGAAAAACTAAACCCCCCCCCCCCCAGGTTCCCTTTTTTAGCATGGCCTCCTCTTTCTGTATTTACTTCTCCCTGTAATGCATAAGTGCTCCCCTTCAAATAAACTTTGGAAAAATATGGTCCTGACAAAAAGGATACTTGAAAGCAGAAGGAAAAATATACTGTTTAAATTTCAGTCTTCCACTAAATACTGTGCTACTCCCTTTCACTACTAAAAACATACAGACTGAAGAAAGAAAGAAAGAAAGAAAGAAAGAAAGAAAGAAAGAAAGAAAGAAAGAAAGGGAAAGAGGAAGGGAGAAATAAAAGGAAGGAAGGGAAAGGGAAGGAAGGAAGGGAAGGGAAGGGAAGGGAAGGGAAGGGAAGGGAAGGGAAGGGGAAACATTAAAAAGGAACACTTTGGTTATTGCTATTTTAAAAAGTAATCCTTGGAAGATATCTGAAATTCTCTAACTCATGCTCTAATAAACAAATGTAATTCCTTACTTTTGCAGCCTGAACTTTGGGATAGAAAGAAGAAAATCCTGGCCAATCCCCAAAATAATAATCTTTGTTTTCAGAATTAACCAGGGGTATTGTGTTGTTTTCTCCCCAGATTTCTGCTTACAAAAATGATTTCCTTCTCATAGATTATTTGAACTCTTCAATGATATCTTAACTGAGGATTCTTCTTCTTGGCAACTGCTGGGCTTGATACTTGGATGATCTGCTGCTTCATACACTTTGTCCAGACCACTTATCTAGATGCTACATTAAATGCTAGCTATGCTATTAAAGCAAAAAACATTGTATAATTTTCTCTCCAGATTTCTGCATACAAAAGTGGCTTTCCTTCTTTTAGAGTGTTCGGACTCTTCAATAATTTAAATCACTTCAAAGGTCATGTTACAAAAAGCAGAGGACTGAGAAATGCTATACTGTATCTTAAATGATAAATCAACTTCTTAGAAGCTGGTAGATTTTATACCCGGGTGATCAACGGCTTCATATATTTCTTCCATACCAGCTTTTGGCTTTGGCTTATTCTGTAGATGCTACTTGGAATTTTAGATACTCTGTTAAATCAAATAAAATACATGGTTGGTGACATTTGTCTTCATTTCACTGTAAAAGCATGATAATGTTTTATCTAGCAAGACATATAATTCCAAGGTGATATCCTAGATCAGGGGTCCTCAAACGGCCCTCCAAGGTCATTTACTCGGCCCTCGCTCAGGGTCAACCTAACTCCTTAATAAACATGTCATTTGCAGAAGAATATATGCTCCAGGATCTCAATCAGGACAAATTTACTCCTCTTTCACTTCGGGCCCTTCCACATAGCCCTAACTCCCAGAATATCAAGGCAGAAAATCCCACATTATCTGAGTGTGGACTCAAATAACCCAGTTCAAAGCAATATTGTGGGATTTTCTGCCTTTCTGTTCTGGAATATAGGGCTGTGTGGAAGGGCCCTTCCTTTTATGGAGAAGGCAAAGGAGTTTTCAAGGGCCCTTTCACACAGCCATATAGCCCAGAATATCAAGGCACATAATCTACAATTATCTGCTTTGAACTGGGTTATCTGACTCCACACTGCCATATAACCCAGTTCAAAGCAGATAATGTGGAATTATATTCAGCTGTGTGGAAGGGGCCTAAGTGGCCATAGAAGTAGTTTCAAAGAGTATAGTTTTGAGCCATGTTACTCCACTGACGATTTTGAATTCACATGTGGTTGGAGTAGCAACAGCTGGTTTTTCGAAGTGCCTAGGAACAAAATATCTAAATCATAGTTAAATTCTTCTGGGTATAAACAGAAGTATGTATGCATAAATGTATTAATTCTCTTATTTTATTCCGTTCTCTCCCACCTATAGTCTCATGGAGGCTTAGAAAAATTAAAACAGATACAAATAAATTTTGAGAGTATTACTGTACAAATGCTGGCTCAACAAAATTATTAATCTTTTCATTTTGTCATGTATTGTGCTGTTAATTAAGTAAACAGCTACATCAAACAGCTTCTAGGCAGAGCCAACCCAACTAAAATAGATGTGGTATGATTAGTGCTAAGTTGGGTGCAGGAATGCCTCAGAATATGATGTTACCATGAACCCAATAGTCTCCTTCTCCCAGATCACAATCATCGTAGCCAGACTCCACTTAAGGTTAGAACTGATACTGGTGGAACATTGCCAATTGTTTAAGAAATATCTTTGACAGCAAGATAAGGAGTACATAATTAAATCACAGGAAGAGCTATATATCATGGACAAGGGAATCTCATGGTTTCAACATAGACAAATCAGAGAATATTATACTAAGGATAAAAAATGGCTTATTGCACAAAGAAACATTTTGGGACAAGATATTGAGCTCAGAAAGTAAAATGATAACAAAAATTTACAAGAAATCATTAGAATGGTCCACAGAGACAGAATTAATTAAAGATTGCATGGTGAAATGGTCTGCAAATATTGGACACTCAATTAATGTAGATGACTGGGAGAAAATATGAAATAAGAAAATAAAATATACAGATGCATTTGATTTAAAAGAAAACTGGCTAAAATGATGTATAGATGGTACATTACTCCTCAGAAACTGGCTAAATGCTATCCGAAAGTCAATGACAGATGTTGGAAGTGCGAAGACCAATGTGGCATGCTTTATCATATGTGGTGGACATTGCTAAGTCATATTGGAAAAAAATATTCACAAAAAAATAGAAAAGATATTAGATATAAAAATATAATTAAAATTAGAATATTTCCTTCTAGGAATAACTGACTTTGAAATAAGGATAAACTGTTTAACTATCTGGTGACAGTGGCCAGAATAAATTATGCAAGAGTGTGGAGAACAAAAGAGATCCCAACACAAGAACCATGGCTAATGAAGATTATAGACATTATAAACATGGACAAATTAACCCAACTGATGAGTATAAAGCAGAATACGAAGATATCAAAAACAGGTTAGCTACCGGGAAAGAACTTCATAACGCAAGAAAAACTGAAATAGGTAATAGATATAAGATAAAAAATAAATACCTAATGCTCCTAAGAAAGAACACAAGAAGGAGCTGGCCAATATTTTCAGGAGAGACTTTATGAACAAAGGAAGAAAAATATACCTAAAGTGAAGAAGATTGGAAGTCAAAATATATACCCTACCCTACCAAATTCCCTTCCCCTCCCTTACCCATTTTACCCCAAACTCTCAAACCTATCCTACTTCTTTTGTCCCACTTTCACATTTTCCCACTTTTCTATACACCACATATGTTCCCCCTCTTTTAATTGTATTTTGAAAAGTTCTAAAAAAAATATATTATAAAAAAGGAAATATCTTTGACAGCATCATTTTTCAATAAGGAATATCTTGGATACCATTGAGTTCATAATTTTGTTTATCTATTGCTGTTTTGAGGCATTTGTTTTAAAGTTCTTTTGTGTTCAAAAAACATTGCTGGGAAAATAGTGCTTGTTAAAGGATCAACGAATGGGATTAGAAGAGAGCTTGCACCAAATTTTGCACTTGCTGGTTCCATTCTCATTCCCTGAGATATTGACAAACAAAGGAACAGCCAAGCTCCAATGGAAATCTAATGGTTCATACCTACAAGTGTGGCTAACGCAAAAGGGAAGAAATCTATTCAGTGGCAGATTAGATAAATGTGTGGATCCTCGTTGATGCGAGTTGTTTATTGTTCAAAAATGTCATATATCAATGTTGCCTTCATTAAACTGAAACTTTGACAGTTTTGCATGAGCACAGGAAAATATAGAGAAGGTACAAGGAATTTAGAAGCTAATAGAATTTACAAGATAATAGAGAATTCCTATAGAGTCAGCCCCCATATCGGGGATTTGGCCTTTGCGGATATGAATCCCTAGGTCCTTCATTGTTCCAGTGGAAGTTGTCCACAGAGGCTGGATCTACATTGCCCTATATCCCAGGATCTGATCCCAGATTATCTGATATGAACGGGATTATATGAGGGCCCTTCCAGACAGGCCCTATATCCCAGGATCTGATCCCATGTTTTCTGTTATCCCAGATTACCTGGCAGTGGGGACTCAAATAATCCAGTTTTAAGCAGAAAACCTGGGATCATATCCTGGGATATAGGGGCCTGTCTGGAAGGACACTAAGCCTACACTGCCAGATAATTTGGGATAAGAAGATAATCTGGGATCAGATTCTGGGATATAGGATCAAGTCAGAGTTGTGCTGAAGCTGCAGATCTTTATATTAAAAAGAAAAACTCAGCTATTACACTTCTCTGCCTGTAGAGGCCGCTGTTTTCTTAGATTTGATATACAGTATGATAACTGGGGGGAAATCAACTTATATCCCCATACCAAAAAAGGGAAATGCTAAAGACTGCTCATACTTTCCTACAGTGGCCCTTATTTCTCATGCCAGTAAGGTAATGCTCAAGATCCTGCAAGGAAGACTCCAGCAATACATGGAGAGAGAGTTACCAGATGTACAAGCTGGATTTAGAAAAGGCAGAGGAACAAGAGACCAAGTTGCCAATATCCGCTGGATAATGGAGAAAGGCAGGGAGTTTCAGAAAAACATCTATTTCTGTTTTATTGACTATTCTAAAGCCTTTGACTGTGTGGATCATAATAAACGGTGGCAAATTCTTGGTGGTATGGGCATACCAAATCACCTTGCCTCTCTCCTGAGGAATCTGTACAAGGACCAAGTAGCAACAGTAAGAACTGATCATGGAACAACAGACTGGTTCAAGATTAGGAAAAGCGTACAGCAGGGTTGTGTACTCTCATCCAACCTATTCAACTTCTATGCAGAAAACATCATACAATGTGTAGGACTTGATGAAAGCAAGGCTGGGGTTAAAATTGCTGGAAGAAACATTAACAACCTTAGATATGCAGATGATACCACTTTGATGGCCGAAAGCGAGGAGGAACTGAGGAGCTTCTAATCAAGGTGAAAGAAGAAAGTGCAAACGCTGGGTTGCAGTTATATATATATATATATATATATATATATATATATATATATATAAAACAGGATTATGGCAAATAGAGGGAGAAATGGTGGAGGCAGTGACAGACTTTGTATTTCTAGGTGCAAAGATTACTGCAGACGCAGACTGCAGCCAGGAAATCAGAAGACGCTTATTTCTTGGGAGAAGAGCAATGACCAATCTCGATAAAATATTGAAGAGTAGAAACATCACACTGGGAACGAAGATCCGCATAGTAAAAGCAATGGTATTCCCCATAGCAACCTACAGATGTGAGAGCTGGACCATAGAGAAGGCTGAGCGAAGGAAGATAGATGCTTTTGAACTGTGGTGTTGGAGGAAGGTTCTGAGAGTGCCTTGGACTGCAAGAAGATCCAACTAGTCCATACTTCAGGAAATAAAGCCCGACTGCTCATTGGAGGGAAGAATAGTGGAGGCAAAGATGAAGTATTTTGGCTGCATCATGAGAAGACATGAAAGCTTAGAGAAGACAATTATGCTGGGGAAAATGAAAGGAAAAAGGAAGAGGGGCCGATCAAGGGCAAGATGGATGAATGGCATCTTTGAAGTGACTGGCTTGACCTTGAAGGAGCTGGGGGTGGTGACGGCCGACTGGGAGCTCTGGCGTGGGCTGGTCCATGAAGTCACGAAGAGTCGGAAGCAACTGAACGAATAAACAACAGGTTGCTTCAAATAGCTAAACTGCTGATATCCGTCTCACAGAATGCTACCAGTCTATTTTAATTACACTTGTTTCTAATTTTATATATGCTAAATAATAGCTTTTTAAAAGCCCCCACCATTTGTAATAGATGTGTTCTTGTTGTTCAGGGAAACAAGACCTTGTCATGTTGATGGGGTTGAGGGCTGAAGGGACCAGCTAACACCTCCCAACAAAGGATTCCCCAGGCAACCCCGTCAACACGACAAGGCAGGAAGCAGTCAAGCTTTGAAGCTGCAAGGCCATTCAGTGCTGATCAAGGTAGCCAATTGCAATATTCACACCTACCTAAATCAGACAAGAGTTCTTTCTCCCACCCTGGACATTCTAACAGAATTCACAACCTCAGAATTCCCCCAGGCAGCAATCA